GTGAAAGTCGATTCCAGTCGATGCTGCATTCTTTGAATCTCGCTAAGTTCCTTCATTAAACGACGTAGACGAACTCTTTTATCCGGCATCGCCATGGTTCCCTAAAAGTAATCATAAAATTATAAAACATAAAATTGTATTTAAAAAAGTTTTTATTTTATCATTATATATTTAAAATTTAAAAAGTAAAGTAAATTTAAAATTTAAATGAAAAATATATTTAAAACTTCTAATTTTGGACAAAATTGTTTTTAATCTTTATTTTTGATATAAGAAATATATTAGATGTTTGGATTTATATTATATTATAAATAACTATATAATATAAAATACCTGCGTAGAATTATTAGTGGTTTTTTTCGATTTGAAGAAACAACTCCCATGATTGGAATTACTAACACCTGGATTATCTGACAATCCACTATCAGTTGGAGTAACTGCATCCGGACGATGCCGACTTAGAAGCCTTCTCGACGGTGAACTCGTCGAACTACTTGCTCCATCTTGTTCCGAAATCTTCTCTGAAGATCGAAAAAATTTTCGGAAAGCAGCCACCACTTTTTCTTTCGATCTTGTAGACATGATTTTTCCAGTATTGACACACTAATTATTCATAAATTTTTAATTAATTTATTATTTTATAATTTATTATTTTTTTACAATTATAATCATGATCAAATAGTTATCTTAATCATTATTTTATAACAACATAAATGATAATTATAATATGAAATGGTAATTATGGCTATTAAAGTAATAGTAATTAAACATTAAAATTCAATTTTTATCATAATTCTTTTCAATTGAAATTGACAAGAGTTTAAAAAATATTTTTATCGCAAAAAATAAATAAAACTTATTTACTAAATATGAAATATATATTTTTTAATTTTAATGAAAAAGATTCGTAATATTCGTAAAATTTGTAAAAATATTAATTATTATAATAATAATAATAATAATAATAATAATATATAATATTAGAATTTTATAATTATTGTTTATTAGAATTATTAGAATATTTATAGAATATTAGAATTTTATATATTGTTTATTATCATATGGCAAAATATAATAATTCATAATTTATAAATTATGATAAAAAATAATAAACTAATAAATGTTTAATTATTATTGTAAGTTATTAAAATTACTATAATAATATTATAATAAAAATTAATAAATCATTATATTATAATACAAATTCGTTTTCACTTTAGAATCACAATTTATCTATTAACTTAAAAACGACATTGTATATGATTCATTATAATGATTATAAAACCATATTACCTGTCCTTTCTTGAAAAAGAAAAAGAAATTTTTTTTGAAACTGCAAAAATGTATTCTTGATGAAAGTTCTTAAAATATAATAAAATACAATATGAAAAGCAAAAATATTCGCCATATGAAATAAAAATACGGAAGGTTTGATGCAAGATTCGGTAAACATTGTGGTAACATTCGTAATAATCTCTACTAATAATACTTCTTCATTGCACACTCACCCTGTTCTCTTTTTGCGATCAGGGTTTATTTCTTTCTGACATACTCGATTGTTTGCGAATCATTTTAAATGGCCACTAAAACATTTGTGGTATAAATAATTTACAAAAAAATCGCGTGTCAAGAATACGATGAACGAAGAATGGAACGGAACACGGCGCAGTCTCCACCCTCATTGAACTGGCCGGGCGCGTAGTTCAGAAGGGTTGCTAGTTCCACCAATCACAAGATCCTTTCAAATTTCTTCGAAGCGTTTTTTTATTTATATTCGCGAAAATAATTTTTTTTTCTGTTTTGTGTACAATTTGATGCGCTTTCTAAAAATCTTGACTAAGATTGACAATAATTTTCGATCATAAATTATCATATCTCTAAGAAATAAACTATGTATTTACAATTAAAATAAAAGCAATTTTTTTCAAATAGTGAAGTTATATATAACTAATAAATTTTAAAAAGATATATAAAATCGATTTAAAAAATTTTATAAAATAATCTTTTATTATATTATTTCACTAATAATAATGGCAAAAAAAATTTACTTATAGTTCAAATTGATAATTAAATTAATCAATTCCTTCTATATCAAGAATAAAAAAATAAAAATTTAGTTATAAAAAATATATATATATAGAAAATTCATTTTGAATAATAAAAAATGTATCTTTTTTTATATAATATATTTTCTATTATATAAAAAAATAATTTATTTAAATAATATTCAAAATAGATATTATGTAACTTAAAATTATTTATATTTGTATATAATTCTAAATATATGCGAATCTTTAAATAACAATTTAGAAAAAGAACAATTGTTAATTTTATCTATATATTAATAAATATAAATATTAAAACTTATGTGAAAACATTTTATCAATTAATCTAAATCTATTAGGAATAACAAAAATAAATGTTATTTACAAGTTTTTGTTATTTAATAAATAAGTTATTAATATAATAAAAAAAAATTGATTTTCCTACACAATTAACGATTATTAAAGATCAACTATAATTATTTATATTTTATAACCATAATATAATAAAAATATCATAAATATTTCTTATTAATTTTTTTTTCTTTCTATTGTAATTATATATAATTATTATTTTTATGAATATTCAAAAATATAGTTTTATATATAAATAAACAATTTAATATTGATCCAATTTATGATATTCCATATTAGTATTTAAATATTATATTACATAGAAATATATTGTAAATTTAATATGTCATAAAAATCGCATAAATTAAAAAACTTATCTAATATAAAATTTAAACAATGTACAATATAACATTAAAAATAATATTGTAAAAATCTAATATTTTAACTTTTAATACTTTTAATATTTTTTACATTAACAATTAAATTAAATAATTATTTACAATTTATGAAAAAAAGTTATAAGTCTAATAAAAAAGAAGATAAAAGAAATAATTTAAATAATTGAATTATTTACTATGCATATTTTTTATTTTTCCATGGTACTATTATATAACAATTCAAATATCGATTTGAAAATAAAAAAATTAAAATATATCTTACTACATAAGTAAAAACAAGAAAACTAGACAAATACTGCACCCATATCCATTTTAATTCTTCCAGAATATTAGGCTGATAATAAATTAAATGTTCTCTATAAATTAATTCTCCTTGAATGACTATTATATTTTCATTTACATTACCTATTTGTTCACTTATATATTTATTATTTATTTTAGCTGTAACTGAAATAAATTTTATTTTTTATTATATTTTTTAACTACAAAAAATTTTACTAAAAAATGCTACTAACATTTTTTATTAAAATTTTGCATAAGTATTTCATTCAAAGAATAATCAGCAATTTCCAAACTATGATTATATACTTCATATAAGCCTTCACTAGTAAGAAGACCTTTTTGTTGCAATATCAAATCTCCATAAAACTGTATTTTTTGAACTTCTTCATTTAATACATGAGTAAAAAATGCAATAGATTCTATTGTTGCCTCAAACAATTGCTATAACAAATTAATATATTATTAGTTATAAATAATAAAATAAAAATAATCAAATTTTTACCTTTAATTGAAAATTAAAGAAAAGTAAAAGTTTAAGAGACTTTATAGGTTTATTTGTATAAAAATGAGCCTCAAATTTTAAAATATCATTTTTACCATCAATATTTGTATCTATTTCCCGAACCTAAAATCTCAAAAAATTAATATAAAATATATAGAAAAAAAAAACATTAAGTAAACATTAATATAATAATTTGCATTATATAATTTTTACATATACATCATAATAATATAAAGATAAAACCTTTATTAATGTACAATTATCTTCAATTTCATTATCCTTATACATTTTAAAACTTGAACAGACTATAGGATTTGTGTTAAAATCTCTATTTGCTAATAATAAATATTTATAATTAAAAAATACATCAGGTTTTTCCATGAGTACACGATTCTTCAACAAAAAACCTAAAAATTATAATAATTAACTGTGCAACAAAATAGTAAAAATATTATAATTAATAACAACAATCATAATATTTGTAATAATATACACATCAGAATTTGATTGTATAAATCATACTGATATAATTATATAAAAATAAAATATCAAAAAATGTACCTCCTGTGTTATAAATAATAAAAATTGGTGTAATCAATGATAGAATTATGAGTAATAATACAATAAGAAAACTTAAAGAACATATTTTACTTTTATATTTATAATCAATAGAACTCGAAAATATTTCGATGGCAGCCATGATGTGTTGTCCTGACAATGATTAAGAAAATAAATATATATTCACATATCTATATATGTAATAATTTAGAATTTTTAAAAAATAAGATAAATTAAAAAGAAATACAAGGTTTATTAAAATTTTTATCTAAGTAAAATTAAGTTAGCAGTATAAAAAATATAGTATGATGATATATAAAAATAATTAAAAATACTTAAATTATAATGATAACTATTTTCTAAAATCTACAATATTGATTTTAATAACTTTGAAAGATTAATATTTTAAATAACTTTTTTTAATAGATGCAAAAAATATTAATATTGAATTTCATGCACTCTTACTAAGTTCCACAATATGTTTATAGAAGCAGATATATATAGAGTGATCGCATGCTACATACATTATCATATATATATATATATATATATACAATGAAATGAAATTGAATGTAGCAACTATTTTTGTAAATATCTCGATAATTAAGACCAAACGTTACATAGGAAAAAGTTATTTAAAATATTGATTTCTATAATATATATCAAAATCATTAAAATCAGAAGACCTTATTTCCAGTAATATTATTGTAATGTTAATAGGTTATGGCATTTTATTTCACTTATTTTACTAGTTTAAATGTTCTTTTTAAAAGAAGAAATAATTTGATTAGTAAATGCGATAAGAATGATTTAATTAAGGAATAATAAACATAATATATAATAATAATTATACAATATACAAAAATGTCAATTGATGAAGAAAGAAATATTGTAGTTAAATTTTTAAATGTTTTAAAAAGTATGTTACTAATGATACTTATTTTATATTTAATTTTAAAATAATATTTTTAAAACTTTTTCAGTTGTATATATTTTAATAATTATATTTTATTTATTTTCTATTATTTCTTTAGTAAAGAAGAAAGATTATCCTGCATTTGAAGAATCTCTCAGTACATTACAAAATTATGCTGCATCTAAAGGTTTGATGGATGAAGATATTGATTTATTAGTAAATATTATTATAAATACAGATTTAAGTTAGTATATTTCAAATATTGTAAGAACCAAACAATTACATTTTATAAAAAATATAAAGTAAGAAATATATTTAATAGGTGCTACTAAATTGGTATCTTTAGCAAAATGTTTAGTTCCTCAATATAAAATATCTGAACATACAGTTAAATCCATTATTTCTTGGTGTTTATCATCTATAAATAAACTTCCTATTTCTGTATCCATCATTATTATGCAATGGATAATTGGTAATATTATTAATATTAATTTTATTAAAATATAATATATAATAAAATAGATAGAATATTTGAGATTAAAATTAAAATATATGTTTTCAGGTATATTGGATCATCAATTAATAGATAAAAAAGTTATAAATATATATTATGATGTTTTCTTTTATATAATATTAAAAAAAGAAAAATTGGTAAATGTATTTTTTGCCTATATTATTATAATGTATTGCCTATATTATATAATTCATATAAAAAAATTATATCTTTTAAATTTTAGAATTTTTTAATAGAATTTTATATAATTAGAAATTTTGATAATAATTATAATATAATTATATTATTGAATATTTTTTTATTATTATCATAGGAAAGACAGATAGCACGTATTATTTATGTATTGACAAAACCAGAAGATGTAACACGTAGAAATATATCTAGATTATTAACTCTCCATCAAAAATATTCAAGACCACAAAAACATATTATTGTTTTATTATCGTAAGTAATTATAATTTTAAATTTCTTATTTTAAAAATTTAACATTTTAATTTGTTTAAAATTTATTTTAGATTATTTAAATCTTATAAACCTGAATTAGTTCCTGAAAAAATTCAATCTATAAATACAGAAAGTGTATGGAAACCAATACCCGAAGTTTTACGATTAATGTTTCAAGATGCTAAAACTCGTTTAGAAATCCAACAAACACAGGACTTACATCTGGAATGTTTTAATTGGAATACATTTGAAGTAAGTATAATAATTATAGAATTCATTTAAAAATGAAATTTACAGTTTTTTTAATTTTGATAGTCCAAGAAAACAAAGAAAACTGTGACACCTCTATTACCATCTGTAGGATACTTTCAAATTGGTTCTAGTATTTTTAAAGAGAAGAATAAAAAATCTATTTTCGACATTTCTAGGTATAATATAATAAATTTTATTATTCTAAATGTTTATTGATTTATATTTTTTATACTGAAATATTTCAGCATAGAAGAATTGGGAAAATTACAATTAAGTATAGAATTACCATGTAATGCTATATCTCTTTTAAGTAATACTGCTGGATATCATCTTCTCACATTTAGCAATTTCCAATATCAAAGTAGATTTTCTTATAATCTTTATAACACTTTAATAAGAGGTATATTTTAAATAATATGTATTATATCTATTTTTAAACATTTTTATATCTGTAATATCTTTTTAGAAAAATGTTTAATGTATTTCATTTCAGCATTTATGTTGGAAAATGAAAAATTTTCTATAGAAGAAATTAATAAATTACTTGATATGACTATAGAATTTTCACGATATATGCAACAAGATATACCTGTTGTTAATCATTTTCTTAGTGAATATTTGTATTTTAATACAGGCGAATATCAATCAAAATTACTAATGTTATTACAATGGATGACTTCTCTATCTATCAGTGGTATATTTTTAATAAATATATTCATTAAGGGATTCTATGCAAACTATTATATAATAAAAAATAATATAAATAAAAACATTTTTAAAAATAATTTATAATTGAATATTTATAATTATTATTGTGTGAAAATATATATATTTTTTTAATATTACATATATCTAAAAGAATTATTAATAATCATATTAATTTATAGAAAACATTTTTTTATTTTAAAATAAAATAAATAAAATAAATTTATATTTTAAAGGAATAATATAATTTAAAAAGATCTCATATATTTTCTTAATTTTTTTTTTAATGTGTATATAATCCCTTAATGCTTTTATATATAACATGTATTATAAAAATAAAATATTTTTAGATTTACAAGAAAAAATATTAGTACATGTACAAAATATGTTTTACGAATCATCTTTAATGATAAAATGTGAAATCATCAAAACATTAAAAATATTGATAACAAATTTGGTATGTTAAAAAAATTATTTTATTATTTATTTTAATTTTTATAATTTTTTATATCAATCACTCAATTATTTTATATAAATTATTTTTAAAAGTAGATTAATATCAAAGTTAATATTAATAAAAAAAATAATATAATTATTAATAAAATTGTAGAATTAAATCAGTCTTTAAAACATTTTTTATAGTTTATTAGTCAAGGATTTAAAGAATGCTGCCATAAAACACCTGCACCATTTTTAGGACAAGGTGCAATGGATAATTTAGAAGAAGTAATTCCTATTCTTACAAAAATCTCTGAAGAACTTATTGTATCTGGCTTAAATATACATTCATACAATATTTTATTACTTTCAGAAGCATTATCATTTTATGAAGAGGTAGGTAGATATATAGAGTAGGTAAATATATATATATATATATATATATAATGAATAAATAATATAAATATAATAATAATAAATTATTATTAATTAAATGGAAACATTATTATATGAGAAATATTAATAATACAATTATCCAATTTTTTTATAAAAAATATTTAGATTTGTATATTGGAAAATCAAAGTACCATATTATTCTTTACATTAGCACCTTCTTCAGTAATTTATGGAGCTTTTGTTACAAAACATCTTGCGATTTTATCAAAAATATGTAAATTGTTATTAAGGTATATATATCTTATTATTTTTTTTATGTTTATAAATAATTTTTTAATTTCAACATTTATTCATAGGTATCGCGATAGAAGTTTGCAATTAAAAACTCCTAAATTACAAAAATTATTCAAGAAAAAAATTTATACAATATCTATTTATGCTCAAGAAATTGTTGAAGCATTATGGTATGATGAGGTATGTAAATATTTTATTTCAGTTATATCAGTTATAAAAAAATATAATTTTAAAATTTTTGTTCAAAAATAATTTAAATTGAAATTGAAATATTTATTATATTTGATTTTTTTGCAAGAAATTTTTTATATTAGTATTATAAATTAAAAGTAAATATTTATTAAATAAAATTGTTTTCATTGATTTAATTTTTAGAAATTTTTGTATTAAAATAATTTATATTGAAAGATTATCGATTAATTATAATCAATAATATAAAAATATAAATATGAATAAAATAAAAATATGAATATGAATATTATATTATATTCAAAATATTTTTCTATGTAAAATCATTATAATTAAAAATAAAAAAGCTGCAAATAATATATTTTTTGATAAATTTATATTTTTCAGCCATTTAAGAATCACAAAAATAAATATTTTCTAAAAGATATTCCAATAGATATGATGGAAGATTTAGAAGATTGCAATATAAATTGCCTTTTAAATATTAGTAATCATTATTCTGTTTTACCTTATAAGTGTACATTGAGCAAAACTGGACTAAATATTAGCACAAAAGAGGTTAGTAATAAAATGTAATTATTGTATATAATTTATGATAAAACTTTCAAAATAATATTAATATATACAATAATTTTTAATATTTAACAATATATCTTAGATGATAAAAAGTTATTTTAAAAACAATAACATTTTTACAGGATGCTATGAGTATAGCTTTACATTACTATCCAACAATAAATGAATTTCTTAGTATATTTCAGAATTAATTAAAATACTAAATATGAATATAAAAATGTTTATAATATTTCTGAAATTTATTTTTTATATTTAAAATATTCTTGAAACATAAAAATATTTTCAATTATAAATAAATTATATTTTTATTTATAAAATTTACATTTATGAAGCCAAGTATATACATGAAATAAGTCAATTTAAATTAATCGTTATGTTTTATTTTTTCATTTACATAAAAATTTTCATTTACAGTTCATTTAACAGTCTTTAATATATATCTGTCTAATAAAAAATTACAGATAAATTATAGTGAATGGTTTGTTTTTATATTTTATAAATTATACAGTTTTTTTATTTTTTTTATATTTTTTGTCTACGTTTATTTTATTTGTCTCATGCATTAATATTTAATATTGCAATAAATTATTCGCGTTTAAATAAATAAAAAATTATTTAATAATAATTATGCAATAAGTTTCTCTTGAGAATTCAATGAGTGTGAACATCTCTTAAATTTAAAATTTATAATATTTATTGAACATATTCTAAATACACATTGCTTCTAGAAAAGGCCATTCATGCAATATTTTTGTATTAAATATATTTTATAGTTACTATACTTTGTGTGTGTTACTATATTATCATTAATACTATTGATAGTATATTAAAAAATTAATAATCATATCATATTGGTACACAAATTATCTTTAAACAAAACAATAAAATAGATTTAAAAAATTTTATACAAAAATAATAATTCAAATTGAAACTGAGTAATATATTTTTTTGCTACAGATTAATTTTTAAAAAATATATATGTACGATTAATATATTTTTTAACAATAACTATCTATATTGCTTAAAAATTCAATGATATTACGTGATGAATGAATAAAAAAAATGTATAATACTAATCATATTGAATTAAATGAAAAATTTACTATATATATTACTGCATATAATATGTGTATTATTCAATTAATATAATATCATATAATACATTTTTCTACATTTTTTTCCCCATTATAAACTGATACAGCTATGTTGTAGTCTGTCATGATTATAATAATAATTTGAATATAGGAAGAAATATTCATATATGTAATGATAACATCAAGAACTTAGAATTTCTATCAATATTATAATATGTTATAAATTATCTCTAGTTTTTAATTAATCATTTGAATCTATAGAATTTTATTTAATATCATAATATTTATATCATCTAAAAATCTTTTACATTAAGCTGCAAATTAACTATTTTTAAAAATCGGTGGAATAACTAGATATGTGCTCATATGTCTAATTATTTATATGCACATTAAATTATAGTTATTAATAAAATAATATGCTAAAAGATTATATTTTGTCAAAATATTTATAAATGTTGTGATTATAAAGTACATAAAAGAATTGACAGAGAATGTTCACCTCTACCAAAATTTTCAATAAATTCTTTTTTTTGTAATAATATACAAAATAATATTTCATTTGCAATTATCATGAAAAATTGTTATATATTTTCATTAATAATAAGCATTTTACTATGAATAGTATAGTTAAATGTAATCAATCTTGAGCAATGTATTCATGTTATCTATACTATTTTAAATTGTAATATGCTTTTATGGACTGTCTTTGGCGTACATATATTCTCAGACTAGAAAATGATAGTATTGGGAGGCCTGGAATGTGAAATTCTATTTAAAAATAATAAACATGGAATTTAGCAGATTTGGTAAAAGTGCACATTTTTAATAATAAAATTTTGTTTTTCTATTGCAGTAATTATAGTAAATTAATTATAGTTAATTTGTTCAAATTAAATAGTACATGCAACATAAGATAATTTTTGAAAATTAAAAATATATAATGATCTCAGAAATAGAAACATTTGTAGCAATTATATCCAATGCTTATGGTGCATGAACTACTTTGAAAACCTAATATTTTATTATAAAGATAATAGATAAATTATTATTATAAATTATTATCAAAGGAATTTATTATAAACATACAATGTTATAGCAATAAACAATAACGATTAATATTTTATTGTCATGAATTTGAAAAAATCATTGAAATAGTTATATTTATTCAAATTAAACTATGAAATAGCATTTATATAATTATAGTCTATGACTGGCAGTCATGCATTCAATTGTAATACACAATGATTTATTTTGAAATTAATTTAAATTAATACTAATAATATCACTGCAGTTCCATGTTGACATTAAGTTCAATTTGAATACAACTTTATCGATAAACTTGTTTTTTCAAATTTCGTTTTTTCAAAATATATACCAAAAAATTCTTTGAAAAAATAAACATAATAATAATAATAATATTAGTAATGTATTTTTTTTTACAACATTAAATTGTAAATTTAAAAGAAAATAAAACATTGGCAGTTATAATTAAAAGAAAATATTTAAAGAAATAATTTTGTTTATTTTTAACATTTCAAATAAGATTTACTATTAAAAAAAAAAAAATGATTCCTAATCATAATTATATAGTTTTTATTTTATATAAACAATAAATATTTCTGTACTTCATGCATACAATCATACATTAATAATATTTTAAAAAATAATTCACTGCAATAAATGTTACTTTTAGTGTCAAAAATGCTGTAAAATATAAAAAAAATTCATTATGTGCGTTGTGATAAACATGAAATACTAATAAATTATTTTCTTTTTTTACATAAATATTGAATTGAAAAAACTATTATATTATTGAATTTTCTTAAATAATTTCTTTAAATTCCAATTTTAAAATTATGGAACAATGTCAGAAACACACATTTAAATTATTCAATTAAAAAGAAATATTTTAAATATTGAATAATTATTGAAATATAATTATAAATATTGAATTTCTAAAAAAAATTTTAAATTTATAAGCTGCATTATTATAATTTCATAGATAAGAAAATTTATTTCATGTAAAAAAAATTAAACACAAATTTTATAATCACATTAAAGATGATATTACATTATTTAAGATAAAAAAAATATGAATTTATTTTCACTTACATCGCAAATTTCAATATATATATTTTATATTTCATACTCTTAAAAAAATCATTTAAAATTAGTTAAATATACATGAAGAACTTTAAATAGAAATAAAAAAATTGTATAATTTTTTAACAAAACGGATTTTATGTATTATATTTATAAATGCTAAATGAATGCTTATGACAATTTTATAAATAACTTTTCTTTAAAATTTGAAATCAATAATATTTTGTTTGAAAATGATAATAAATATGAGTATATAGTGTTTTATATATATTTATCATATATTTTTAAATTCTATTAGAAAAAAAAATATTTATATACTTTAAATTTAATAAAATTGAAAATATTAATAATATTAAAAAATATATAGTTCTGACATTATTGCCATTTCTAAAGAAAAAAATTTTATTAATATGATTGCATTTTATGGACAATATAAAATTAATAAGGTGCTTCATTGATGTCATATACATATATTTGATTAAATTTGAGTTCTTATTTTTTGCACCAAATATACTAAGGGCAGTGACTATAGTATTTTTGTAAAAAAAATTTCTTTTGCAGTTTTACAATTATAAATTAAAATGAGTTATAAAAATCAATGAAATTTTGTTTTGTTCAATGTAACAATAATTTTGTATGGCACGAGGTACAGATTAATTTTTATTATAATATTGCCAATATTCTTTTTCATTCACATATATGTAATGAAAAGGTATCATTAAAAATGCGCGTATATAATTAATAACAAATATAAAATAGGCGTTTTGTAATATTCGAAGAATATGCAATTAATTGCATATTGGTATATTTAGCATATCATAATTTGATTTATGTACACTATATCTTATTTTAAGTTTAGCTAATATTTTTAAATAATTGAAAAGTAGTTAGAAAAAGTTTCTGTTAGTCTTAAAATACAATATTTATAAAATTTTGTATTTTATATATTCATAATTTTTATTATCAACAAAATTCAAAAATAGCTTTATGTCAGTCAAGCATCTCGTATTTAAAGTATTTATATTGAATGAAACAATAATATCATTTATTATTCTTCAAACTACGATATACAACATAGACTAATTCAGATTAACTAGCAAATGATAATCATAATACATAATTCAAATGCACTTATCGTCATGAGGATACTGCAAGTGATAAATAAATAAATGAGTAAAAATCTTTTACATATTGATAATTAGTATTAGAAATTAAAAATATATATTATCCTATTTTTTAAATTTTTAAGCAATCGTCAACAAATAAAATAAATCACTTCATTGATATTACGATTTATGCTTCATTTTTTATATTTTGAAATAACAAAAACGAGAAATTTAACTGACAATTTATATTAAACTAAAATTCAATTTTGAAACTAATCTGTACAATGATATAAATAGTGAAGCCAAATATTAAAACATCTGCAATCAAAGCCTATGTAATTAACAGCTAAAGATAATTATTTTAAATAGTATTCTTTATTATTACTATCAAAAACAGTCATTTAAAAGAAAAGCAAATAAATGATAAATATAAAATTTTTTTCAATATTTCATTTTTTAACTTGTTCAACAAAAAATAAGTTTTTTTTTAAATGAAATAAAATTAAATAAATTTTTTTGTTATTTACTATAAAAAAATCATTTAAAAATATCTTCGTGTCTATTATAATATGTAATGCGAAAGTTAATTGTAATAATTAAACAAAATTTTTAGTTTTTTAGATATCCTTGATCACTTTACCTCAAATTTTGAACATCTATCTTTGGCACAGTATGTTAATTAAGCGAAAATAGATTATATCTATAAGTAGAAAGAAATGAAACAAAAGACAGCAAAAATATGCATACACGCTTTTCATCACTATCAAAATTTTTCAGTACATAATCTATTATTACATAATGAGAAACTTAAACGCGAATCGTGCTACTATTTAAATTATAAAGGAGTATGGTTACACAAATAAGTCCTTTTTAAAATTGTTATTACTTAAATATAATAAATTCTATTAAAAAGAAATGAAAAAAAAAAAAGATGAAAAACGTTGAACTTGAACTCGAAATGTTGAGATGTTGTTTGCTAAACACAATGAATATGCGTACATTTCTATGCCTAACATTTATATGTACATAGATACATGCATGTATAGATATATATGTGATTT